GTTCTGCTGCTGTTCTGCCCTCAATCTTCCCAATTCATCATCTTTCTTTGTCATCTTTGCTGGATTTTTTTTTGTTTAGTTTGGTATTCTTATGCAGGATAATGCGTTGGGATTACATTTAGGGGTTGATGATGATGATATGGTGCAACTTTTCCGGCTTTTCGGGCTGGCAACAACTTTGCGGGCGAAAAAAAACGTCTCTGCATCCCCCTTAATGCTTTTCTTCAGCCCACCGAGGAACTCCCACGAAAAAAGGCGAGAAGAATCAGGGAGTGGTCGTTGTCTCTTTTTTTTGGATTTTCTTTATACTGAACTTTAAAGAAAACTGGGTGGGGAACTGAAGAACAGGCTAATCCCTGGTTTATCCATTCGCTGAACCTACAACTATAATTTTGCTAAACTGATTTTGATTAATTTTCCCAGCATTTGTCTATACAAAATGTGACTTGTCCCTGTGTGTCCTGACGCGCTCTCTATTTTCGCTCTCTCTTTCTTATTGGTTATCTCTGTCCCTTTCACTCTCTATCTTGCTCTCGCTCGCCCTGCAAAATTTGCAGCATCCTGCTTATCCCTTTTTGGCCCGATACACATATACAGCTGTATATATACATGCACGTGCGTTCTGTGTGCATGCGTGTGTGTGTGTGTGTGCGAGTGTCCTGTGTGCCTCTGTGTGTGTGAGCTTTGAATTAAAAATGGAAAATTGATTTTTCCGGTTGCTCATATACACACACAATCGCATCGTATGTGTTTTCCATCAAAGCCGGAAAAGAAAGCTTGCTTTCTAGTGCGTTTTCCTCGGGTTTTCCTCGTTGCTAATGACGCTCAACAATGTTAATGCCCCGACCCAGCAGTAAGCTATAAAATATAGTGTTACAATACTGCTGTGACAGGACAATATCAATGGCAAGCGTCCGATTTCGTAGTGTATACATATATATATATATATATAAATATATCCTTTCGTTATACATTTAATTCCATTTGCAGTAGCATTCACTTAGTACACTAGCTGGGCTCTCTTTTCTATTTTGTTAAGTGGGGGCTATCCAAAAGGGATTTGGGTTAGTGTTTCTGGCCCGCTTTCGAAGTCCGTGCGATCCGTGAGCGGTCCGGGAGAAATGGCACGTACGGATACCCAAAGTTGACTGAAAGGCAGCCCAGGGTAGCGGCCACCATCGTCTCGATTTTCGTCGATTTTCGTCGGCTTTCGTTGAGGGTTGCGCGCGCATTCCAATTGCAAAATACATCTCCCCCGATTTCAGGGGGTTGTTTCGTCCGTCTCTTTCTGCACACAGCACTCTTTCCCTCTCTCTCTCTTTCTTACAGTGGAAGATTTATGTCCCGCCGCCGGTGGAAATGCCTTTTTAACTAGAGCAGATTTTTGCTCGGTGTACGCGGCACGTCGGCGCTTCTTTTTCGGGGGTGGTTAATTTCCAGTCAGCTTCGATGCTTCGCTGCTTCCAGTTCTCAAAAACCGAAAACCGAAAGCCACCCCCCAGTAAATCGCACATATTTGATATATAGACTTTTCCCAGAGCCGACTTTATGCGGCGTTTTCCGTTGGCCCTCTGCACATTGCCCAGTGCAAGTGCTTTTCTTTTTTCTTCCCCTTCGCCATTTGGAAAAATCAAATGTAAAAACAATAAAGTTGCACCATATGCTTTTAGCCCGAAAAGAGTTGCATTTTGTGGCATTTTTCTCAATGAAAATACCGTGCTCTCTTTCGGTTTTAAAACTGAGCTGCTGCTGCTGCTGCTGCTACAATTTTGTGTCTACATAAATTTTGTGCACTTGGGAGGGTGGCCGTTGGGTGGGTGTAAAATGCAGGACAAAAAGGATAAACGACAGGTGATTTGAGAGTGGGAATTTGTTGGAGCAGGCCTCCTTTCATGTTTTTCCCCCTCCGATTGTTATTGTTGTTTCTGGCTACGGATCCGGCAAATTGCATTGCAATTTTTGGACCCGCAGGGCACAACCACTCTTAGATTGAGTTGCTTTCAGATTGCAGTTTGTCATCGGATCGCCGATGCGGATTATAAAGTATTCTGTCCTGACAACCGGCTTTGTACGAGTGAGTCGTTAAAGGACAACTGGGGAATATATTGGTGATTTCAGGTGCTGCATAAAGGCAAAGGTTTTCAGCTTTTATTTGAGATTGATTTTTTTTACAATTCTTAAAAAATTCTTTATATGGAACATCTTATATATTATGCCTATTTTTTTTATTTATTATATGGATTTTCGAGATATATAAGAAAAAGATTTATTATATTTTATCCTTATCAAACAAGTTTTCCTTGCCCCCAAATATATCAAGTCACCTTTAAGTGCTTCATTTAATGTTTAGTATACGCCATCAGTCCGTGGAGGGGAGGCCATAAAAAGTTGGATGATGGCTCGTGACCAAGCACCTTCCCTGCTGTTTATTTGACGCAATTAAAATGCGGTGCGTAGGATGAGAACAGTAGGGGTTTCTAAATGAAGAGGGGGCGACGTTAAGTGCGTCTAATCGAATTACACATCGCGATGACGACTGCTGATGTCATCGTCGTCATCATATTTTTGGGTATTTCCCTCACAACTTACAGTAAATCCTTGTTGGTATTTGTAATACCTTCTCCTTCTTCCATTAAAAGGCTTCTTTAACATTCCATTTTTCTGGGTCAGTAGCCGTAAAATTGACAGACGTCTTTCACACGGCAAAAAATCCTGCAGACGACGACGTCACTTCGTAAAGTTCAACAACCGATGGTGGAAAGCCCGCACAACCACACACGTGCAAAGGAAAACCCCACCCCAAAGTACCCACCCTCAATATCCCACCATCAAAACTTGCTATTCAACATCTTCATAGAATTATTTGGCAATCTATTTAATAAATTTCATATCCTTTGGCATTAAAATCAATAACGCACATAACGCAGCCACGATTTGTTTTTGCTCACACACACATGCGTTCCATTTAGCACATAAAAAAAACATGGTCCCAATTTAAGACTGAAAATTGTCCCAAGCAGCAACCAATTCATTCTTTTTTTTTAGGGAATTTTTCTATTCGTCCGAACTTTGCTACTTTTTGGGTTTGGCGAAAGGCGCAGGCGCCCTGGAAAATGAGTTTGTATTTGAAAAGGAAGGAAGGACTGGCAGGGGATGTCCATACAAAAGGTACAGCAATTTGCTGAGGGCATTATCAAAACATATTCATATTTAAGCGAGTTATTTATTTTGTTTTACTTAGTTACAGCCGGTTGTCGTTGGGCTCCCATCTATATGTCTAATGCCAGAGGGTCTCTTTTAGTGTCCCTACAATTTGTTACATTCAACAACTTTTTTCTCCTTATTTATTATTAATTTGGTTTTTGTTTTTTCGGATTTAAATATTTATGTCAATACAAATTTATATATTCAAACAAAACAATAAAATAAATTTGGTTTTAGATCAGGAAAATACATTATTTTATGCAACTTATAATAAATATTAATAAATTTAAATAATGTAATTAAAATAATTACATTCTATTAGTTAACAGAATTCTGCTAAATTTCTCTAGCACCTAATTTTAAATTTGCTACTTGCCAAAAGAGGGCGCCAGCAATAGGTGTCGCTGCATGTAAAAATGGTGTAAATACAAATGAACCAGTAATTTTTTGAGTAGAAAATTTAAATTCAGAATTTTAATGTGATTTTTTATATACATAATATATAGTTTTTCATGTATAAATTTATAAAAGCATAACACGACTTTCTTGTTGCCAATTTAAGCAGCTGCGCTCTTCAGACTCAGGCGAGATTTTAAACATTTTTCTGTAAAACAATGAAATTAAATTAAATTCGATTTCCGATATGGCATCATATATTGTTTGAGTACTCGTTCATTAGCATAGGGAATCCTTCCTATCGGATTCGAAAACTTAGGGTAAGACTGCAAGATGGTAACCTTATGTTGAGGTTTATGAAGTACATGGTGTCTATAATTATTTGACCACCATCCATCCAGGCGAATTTTACTTCTTTTTTTTGTCATCTTTCTCAACTGTTGGAGACACGGCGTAATCAAACATAAAAATTAGTCCTTTCGTGAATATAACAGATCTTGGTCCCATAATTTTTTCTACAATATGCTTCGTCTTATTTATTTTTAAAGCAATGTTGCCAAGCCCAAAGCTACACCTGTAACAAGTGCATGGCCTACAACTCCTTTAATACTCGGACCTTCACCTTTTTTGTCACCGCCTTCCGAATCTGGAATGCATGAAAAATTGTAATATTCATTATTTATGATTTTGAAAATTATCATCGCCTCCCGTACAAAAAATAGGCTCGGAGACAAAAAACGTGAAGAGGGACCGGTACAATAAAGGACCAATAAAAAAAGACCAAAAAAGAAAAACAATTAATTTAAAAACGAGAAGGAAAGGTTCTGGGAAGCGCTGAAATAAAAATAAGTCATTTGCTAAAGAAATTTGAATTTAACACCAAAATGTTTGATATATTTTCTTGCTCAAAGCTTTAATCAGTTTTCTGACTTATTTTCAATTTCAAAATTAGTCAAATATGATATTATTTATATTTTAGTTATTCTACAACCCCCTTTTCTTAATATATCTCAATTAAATTTAAATTTTAAATTATAACTTACATGAAGGACCATTGACATCGCCTTGCTTGGCCAAAATCAGCCCACGTGGCATTTCATAATATTCGCGGCCACCCCACTGTAGAAAATATTAGATATATATGTAAATATAAAACCGATAAAGGAAAATTGAATCGATATAAGTATTCACCTTACGACTCTTTAGCCTGTACCATGGACCTTGGCGCGTCTCACAATGCTCGAAATGTGCTGAATCCTTGGTGAACCAGACATCGTCTTTGACAAAGGCCAGCCGAATCATGGCACCAACCTTAACAATGCCGCCAACTATCGTTATAAATAAAATAGGAAGCACCTGTGGGAGGAATTCGCATAAATAAGGACTAGCACCCAAATATGTAGAAAGAATTCCGAGATGAATATAAATATGATAAGATCAGTTGATATTTGTACTTTAAAAAACAATGGACTCTTTACGTAGTATTAATATTCATAAATTTTCATTAAGACTTTTATAATTTAGTTTTTAAAGTCTCTGTTAGACAGTTACTTAAAACAGAACACAAACAGCCTTAATAATGAAGTAACACTATATTTTTGTAGTATTATTTTATTCAGGTTATATATATATTTTTATACGATACAAATTTGGTTTTCCGTTGCGCTGAAATGAATTTTTTTGTTTAGCTCACTTCGCTTTTCCTGTGGAACTTTACGTTGTAACTGAATTCGTAAAATTATGTATTATAAAAACCTGTATATTTCGCTTTTGTGGTTTCCTTCCGGTCAGCAATGTTGAATGTTGCTTTGGTATCTAAAACGCTGCAATTGCTATTCATATGGACTGGAGGCCGCGGACCAAGCTCAGTCGATCCGAACCCTCACGAGTCCATACCAAGCAACCGCGAGTGTCTGGCCTCCAAAGCATTCAAACATCAACATAGTTTTTGTTTCCGGATCTTTTTCAATGTTGGGGGGCTAAAATGATCACATTTAGAGTACGCCTCGTTCAAATATTCGCTGCTGAAGCCAAACCGAGTGCGGCTGCAGTCAAGGCAGCATGTCCTGCCACTTGCATACCGGTATATTTTGTATTCTTCTCACCTTTTTTGTCACCGACCTCCGCAACTGGAAATATTCTATTAATTGGTAGAGTTAAAACATATTTTTTTAAATACAAATGTGGATTAGTGGCTGTCAATGTTGCAATTTAAAAGTTTCATTTTCTTACATGAGGGTCCTGCCGTGTCGCCCTGCTTAGCACATATTAAACCTTGCGGAACCTCGCACCTTTGATTGATTCTCCAAAACTGTGGGAAGAGAACGTGTTAAACGGCTTGGGTGGCATTGAAATTTATAATTACCTTGAGATACCGCGCTGGGTAATAAAAGCTATTGCGGGTCTCGAGATTATCGCAGGCTGCCGAATTTTCAGTATAAGAAACATCGTGTCTGGTCAGAGCTATTTTTATCCAGAATGTCACTTCAACGGCGAATGCGACGGCCGTAAACGCTATTATGGGTACAGCCTATGGAATTGAACACAAAATATAGTCTTGCCTAGGATTTAAACGATTTAAATATCCTTGCAGACAACTATATTAAACCGTAATTGCAAAAACCGAAAGCGACTTATTCGAAATCAGTCCCCTATCCGCTTACTTTTAATAGACATATAAATATTTTCAAGCCCTAACCGAAATATATTTTGTTAAATTACTTGCTTTATAAAATATTCAAAATTAAAATATTTTGTTTTTTTTTTTGATTTTTTTGATAATTGCTTATTGTATTTTTGCGGTTAGGGCTTGATATAGTAGTCTGAAAAAATTATATATTTCTAACAGGCAAAAGAAACTCAATTTAAAAGGCTTTTTAAAAGAAAACACTGATTAATCATTAATCCAATTAATGAGCTAATAGAATCACCTTTCTATTGTAAATCATTAAATCATTAAATCTCAACACTTCTCAAGTGGAGGAAAACGTTCTCAACATCAGTTTGCACTCTCTTTTTGTTGACACCTGTTTTTCTCACTCTCCCACGCACTCTCTTTTCGGGAATTTGTATAGACGTACGCAAAGAAAATTATAAAGGGGTTTGATTAAAAGAGCAAACGCGGGTATAATCGAACTAATGAACTTTAATTTATATTAAATTTACTTAATTAGGTAAATTAAAGTAAACTTACATACATAGTTTAAATTCTTATTAAACTTCCCTTGAACTTGGCTTAGATAAAAAAAATTAAACAAAATGATTTCTAATGAAACATTTGGAGCCGAAAGCTGGTTTTTAATAGCTAGAATAGCTTTTTGTTGTTTGGCCACTATTGACTGTTTTGTTGCATTTGATTTTAATGTAACGCTTGCTTTTAAAGTATACATGTGGCACAACCAAGTCGCGAAGTGGAATACCTTTTTTAATTCGGGTATTTCCCTTATTTTATCGGTTACCACTAGTCGATAGTTTTGCAGAGCTACCGCCAGCTGTTATCCGCCGGCGGCTCGGCAACCCTCTTCCCGTGACAGCTCTCTTTTGAATTCCCTTGCGCACGCTGCTTCCGAATCCTGACGTCGACAGCGAAAACGAAAAGCCAACAACACTTCCAATTCAATTTTCAAACTGCGCAGTCGCAACCGAGAGAGCGAACTAAAGTAAAAAAGAGGATAAAATTCAGTGTCGTGTTGTTAGAACATTTCCCTAAACGTTTTGGGCATTTATTTATGGCTTTGGCCCTCAGCATTAATTCGCGAGCTTGTTGAACAACTGAAAAACAAAAAAAAACACTATTCATTGCCATTGGCAACAGCACAAAGTAAAGCCGAAAAAAGGAAGCGTAGTCAAAGCAAGTGGCAAAAAAAAAAACCAAAGCCAAAAGGCAGTCTGAAAAAACCAAGGAAGAAACAAAGTCTATACTTTTTTTTGGGAAACCTTATAACTGGTGAAATACAGGATTTTCTAGGAAAAAAACTCAGAAGAGAAAATCAAGTGGCGAAATACATGATTTTCTAGGAAAGAAAAATTGATTGGCAAAAAAAACCCAAAGGAAAACATAAATTCTTTCAGTTGAAAACCCCATTTGGTTTAAGCCAACTGTTCTTAAAACGGCCTTCAAAATTCAGATAAAGCAGGAAATGCACGCGCTTCAGGAGGGCGCCACGATGCTGCACCACCAGCCACCGCCGCCACCCACTTCTGGCGAGGATCACCTGCTCACCGCTGATAGTTTCTTCTATGCCCGCAGCAATCCCATGGAGAATGCGGCCGCAGCAGCCGCCGCCGCAGCAGCGGGACTCATCGATCCGCATCACAATCGGGACTTGCACCAGGCTTTGGTGGCCTCGATAGCCAACAATGGTGGAGTGGCCACAATTGGCGGTGGATTGACCACAGCGGCGGCGGTCTTGAAAAGTGCCGCCCAGCAGTCCCAGCAGGCGGCACAACAAAGCCAAAATTCAGTGGTGGTATCTTCTGGGCAGGATCAGCCCTCCAATCAGGAGCAGGCCCAACAGGCAGCCCTTGCTCTGCTCAAGGAGAACGTCAATGCCAACGCCGGGGCGGGCCAAAATAATGGTCAACCATCGGCCATGGGGGGTAGCAACAAAAGCGGCTCCTCCGGCAGATCCACACCCAGTTTGAGTGGAGGCAGTGGCTCCGATCCCGCACCAGGAAAACTATTCGTTGGCGGCCTCAGCTGGCAAACATCATCCGATAAACTCAAGGAATACTTTAACATGTTCGGCACTGTGACCGATGTGCTCATCATGAAGGACCCCGTAACCCAGGTAAGCCGAAATATCCTCTATTTCCATTATTATATCTACTCCGTTTGTGATCTGTGTACCTCCATAATCCCCCTGCGTTTTTCGGGTTTACAGCTACTACCATTGATCTATCGGTCCCTACTCTTTGTGATTTACCTTTTGCACAGCTGCAAAACTGCAGGTTTTGTCGCCCTCTTTGCATCCTCTTTATTTTTTCCTTCCAGCGGAGGTTTAGAATTACAGTTCTTTCGGCATTACGTGCCAAAAACAAAAGAAACAGCGTACGAAAATGGAGGAGGAAGGGAGGACCACCAAACCCAAATTTAAATAAATCAGGTTTAGGTTTTATATGTAGATCAGCTTGTCTCGGGGTTGATCCACTCGAAATGGTTTATTGAGACAGGAACTTAAGAACCAATTTCCTTGTCATAATTTGTATGCAGGGTGTATCGATTTTCTTATATAAATGCTGGCCACCATTTCCCGAGAATTTTAAGGCCCACCTTTCACTTAAAAAAAAACAAGGAATTTGTTTAATTTATCAGAGTTCTATTTTTTGGTATAACTTTTTAAACACTTTCTTTGGCTTAAAGTAAAAACGCGTTTTCTTTTACTAAAGATTCATATAGTACTTATGTATTTATATTCGATTAAATGCAAACATGTTTCCTGGAAATATAAAAAACAGCTGACAAACTCTTTGGGCATGAACGATATCTTGCAGTAGGTGGTTTCCCCCGAAAAACAAAATTTATTGCAAAGGAAATTGGCTTTTTAAAATATTTAATACTTTGATAACGTATTTTATTTTGTTTAGGGCAGAAAGATTTTTATTTATTTGATTTAAATGCATAGAAATGCATTCCCTAATTACTTTTTTGAATACTTTGTTTCTAAAAAACATCAAAGGCATGCTGACAAATGATGAGTACATCATGTGTACCGAAAAACAAGAGTTATTGCCACGGAAATTGACTTTTTGAAATGCTTAATGTTTTGGGCAATTTGTCCGCTTGATAAGCGGACATTTCCCACACATCCTGTTGGATTGCATTAGTTGGAACATACACATGTATGTATGTATTTCGATTCGATTATATACAAAGTGAGGCTCCCCAACGAAAAGAAGCGCGCGCGCGCTGCTTTCGGGCCATAAAACATCAGCAGCAGCTGCCGCATTGTTCCGAGTCCTGTTCCTGCGGCGCAGCTGTTCCTGCGACCTCCGCAACTAGGGTTCGTTGTAGATAGATTCGGCACAGGACAAATTCTATACGCAGTAGTATACGTACACACCTGGGGTTGTTTCCGAGCCAATTGCGCAATTACGGAATGAGTCGGACTGAACTGCCACGACTGCATGATAGGGCAGTTTTATTATTTGCCGCGATCGACTAACGGGGTTGTCCTGTCCCCTCAACATATACACACGCAAAACACCTTTTGTTCCTTTTTCCCCCCCCTTAACCCAAAAAAAAAGAGTATACAAAAAACAAGAAACAAACAAAAGAATGAAGAAAAACAACAGAAGCGAGAAGAAAACTGGTTTACCAACTGTCTTCAGACCTTTGGATCGCTTATAAAGACGATCCTTGCGATAAGCTGGGGGAGCACTGTAGTCCATAAGAACCTAAGAACAGTCAATTATATAGCTAGTCATATGATGTAGTAAACTAAATGTACGAACTACTAAACATAACATAATTTTAATAAACATAAAACCACAACCTAAAGTGACGAATCTCGAGTCAAGGACAAGGCCGGAAGCCAATAATGGAACCAATGCGAATACCTGGCCCAGGTAACCACGACGCCAGCAACCACAACGCCAGCAAAGGATGACGAGCCAGCAACGAAGGCTTAGGTACTTTTTATACAAAAAACAAAAATTCCACAAAAAAAACAAAAAAAAAATCGCCAAGTACTTTAACTATTGTATAAAAATGACGTTTAGCGTACTTGAATTACTAAAAAAAAAAACTGGCGCATCGTAACTCTCGTATTTTGTATAACTCTGAGCAATAATAATAACTGCATAATTGTACTCGTATCTCTCCGTACTCGTACTCCGCATTGTGTACTTGGTTTATCTTAGCGTTTCTCACCCAACAAAACAAACAAATAAAAACAGTTTTAAACAATAAAAAAAAATTCCAAGCATTGATTTTAAGCAAGCCTCAAAGCAAAACAAACTAACGAGTATGTCTTTCATATTTTACACCACTTTGAAACTATAGTTAAGAGGCGTGCTTTACCCAAATAATACTTTCCCACTTTAGCGTAAGATGGAACTGAAAATCGTCCTGGCAACTGTTGAACTATTCATTGTGTAACATAATAAGAACCTTAGTTTAGCATAATTTACCCTATACATACAAATTTATAACCATATTACAAGATCCCGTAAACGCTAGACCATTTTATAAATAACCATTATGCAACATTCTGTTTGTGTGTGTTTAGTTAATGCTTTTTAATTTTCTTTGGCATATCGAATAATTTAAATTAACCAAACCAATAAGTACCTCATATGTATTTTTAGTTGTGTAGTTCGAATATATATCGAGCAAATAATTTTTAAGTTGTGTTGCGTTGTTCAATTTTTTTTATCTTGGGACCCATATTAATTTGAAGAAATCCACTATGCTTAGTAAATAGAACCCCAAATTCGGCATAATTTCGTCAATCTAAACTCATAGGATAAACCCTAGGTCCTGTGTTTGTGAGTAGATAGATCTGTTTCCCACCAGTCCCCGCAAATAAA